AATGTTGCTGATTTTGCTCTTGTCTGAAAAGTGTGTCTAAGGCTAAAGTGAAGAGTTTTGGATTAATTTCCTTGGCAGAGGAAATCTCAAAATATCCCAGTATAGACTGTGTTGTGTGGTTATTAGTGGTAACTCTAATGAAGATTTATATTGAAAAGAAGCAAGCTAAGCAAATAAAAGTACAAACTGTACAGATTGGAAAATGAGGCACCAGGAATAGGATAGAGCTAAATCCTGAATTGAAGAAGATAAACGGATTAAGAAATGGAATAAAGGGAATGGTCACTTCAGAATAAGATCCCACCGGGCTAAATTTCCAACTTGTGGAAAGGAAGTAAGGAAAGCTTAGAGGTGACGTAGTGGTATCTCTCCACAGTAATAGAAACCCACACTGAGACACCACTCAACAAGGACAAGCTCAGAAGTCAACGCCTGGATCTCTAGTCATCCCAAACCCAGATACCTAAACACCAGTGTCAGAATACAATCAACAGTAGTCAGGGCAATATGGCACCACCACCAGACTCCAGCTATCCTTATGGCAGCAAGACCTAAATATTTCAACACAGTTGAAACACTAAATAATGACCTTAAAAACAACTTTATGTAGATGATAGAGGTCCTTAAAGAGGAAATGAAAAACTTCTTTAGTCTAATTGAGGGAAAGACAACCAAAAATTATAGGAAATCAATAAATCTTTTAAAGAATGCCAAGAAAGCCAAGAAAAAAATAACAGGTGAACAAAATTACTCAAGATCTGAAAATTGAAATGGAAGCAATAAAGAAAATACAAATTAAAGTGTTATGCTCAAATCCACAGCAAACATACTTTACACGCCCCCCCCCCTTTTCTTGCTTTTTAGACAATATAAAAACTCTTACCGAAGTCTTTCTTGTGGTCTTTCTCAGTGGTATATGATGTATGACTACAATATTTTAAATAAGAACAGCACATAAAATCCTGTACCAGTGTGAAACATTTGAGACCAACAGTAGTTTTTATATATTAACCAATAATAACTCGTAGCCAGATGACAGATTTTTATAACATATTGACCCACAGAGCCAAACCTAGGTCAGGTTTGACCAGAAGTTGAGGTACGCAGCCCCTAGGGCAAGTGGAGGGAACAAATCCACGAGCATGGGAGGAATGCAGCGTGGGGGAAAAGATTGTTAACCTCTCCAAGTCATAGCAATTAACCCCAGATTCTCTGTTTAGTGTTTGAAATCCTATTGGGATATATCTGTCCCCTACAACTGTGCCTGGCAGCCTTGCTACATTGCAACAACAAGGATGCATAGCCCAGCCACTCATCCACACAAGCACACTGCCCCACAGTCACATACTTGGGGCCACAGATTCCTTTTCATGAAATGTTTAAGGCAGCAAGGAAAATATACCCCTAAACTTAGAGTCCTATCTCTAAAGTCCTGTAAGTGATCTCAATATCAAAGTCAAAGAAGTCATGATTTGAGTCTGTCGGCATCAGTCTAAGTCAAGACAAAAGCACAACACACAATACACAGACGTAAAGGACAATAAACAGGAAGGACAATGGCGCCAAATAAACCAAAGACACAGCTTCAAGCAACCAAATCAAAGACACAGCTTCAAGCTGTTTGGCGGGTGTGACTCTCCCCTCTATCGGAATGAGATCCCACTATCTGCGAGTCTATATATAGACTTAAGACCTGCTATCCGTGTGTCTCACCAGAGAACTGACCATGCTACCCGCATGTCTCCCCATGCTAATTGCATGTCACACCACAGAATTGAGAGGCCACTACGCGCATGCATCCCCAGAGAGAACCACCCTCTGCAAAGGGCCCTGGGAATGTCCACCTGAGAGCCCAGCCTGTGATCTTTTTGCGTGTCTGCAAATCATCTTCAGGCACTACAGTTCCTAGGCCCATTCACAGGCAGACATGAGGCATGGAGACATGAAACAAAACACAGAAAACTTAACCGGCCACTTGAAGGCTCTACAGGTGGTGGTCCTAGCGGGCTTTGCGGGATCCAGGATGAGCCCTCAAATGTTAGGCCCAAATCTGCAAAGTCCCCGCAAAAGCCAGCAAGGAAACTGAGTCCCATATATAAAAGCAAAGAGCCTTTATTTTAATCAAGTTTGCAAACTCGATCTCTCTGCATGTCCAACATATTGGAATTACCAGAGAGACCCAAGCTCAATTAGAATAGGATTTTATAGTAGTAAAGGTGAGGGTGAGGTATTTCTGAGGTTTTAAGACCCCTGATTGTCTGGCATTTGTCTAGTGTCCTGGTGAAAGTACATGGCAGGTGCTCCTATCTACATGCTTGGAATGTCAGGCATTTCCTTTGAATGATCTGTTCTTGAGTGGAGGTCAGGTAACTCATATGCATTACAGACTCTAAGAGACCATGGATGCCAGCCCAGACTACCATAGCCAGCAAAACTTTTAATTAATCACCATAAATGAAAAAAAAACAAGGTATTTCATGACAAAATCAAATTTAAACATGATCTGTCCATAAAAATCCAGTCCTACAAAAGATACTAAAGAAAAATTCCAACCCAAGGAGGTTAGGTATACCCATAAAAAACCAACTAAACCAAACCAAACCAAACAAAATAGGCAATAGAGAATCTCACACCAGCAAAATCTGAAGAATCACACACAGACACACACATGCCCGCCCCAACCACTACCAATAAAATAACAGGAATTAACAATCACTGGTCATTAATATCTCTCAGTATCAATGAACTCAACTCACCATTAAAACAACACAGGCTAATAGAATGGATATGAAAATAGGATCCACCCTTCTGCTGCATATAAGAAACATACCTATAACATGAGGGCTGGCTTGTTGGGGTTTATGTCCTGCTCAGTTCCCACAGCTGTTTGGACCCAAAGAATATCACACAAAGAGTCTATATTAATGATAAACTGAGTGGCCCATTAGCACAGGCTTCTTGGTTAACTCTTGTAACTTATATTAGCCCATTATTCTTATCTATGCTAGCTACATGGCTCAGTACCTCTTTCAGCAGGGTTGGTCACATCCTGCTTCTTTGGTGTCTGGACAGGACTGCAAAGAGAGTTTCCTTCTTCCCAAACTACTCCTGTCCTCATTGCCTCACCTCTACTTCCTGTCTGGATGTAACGCCTATACTTCCTGCCTGGTTACTGGCCAATCAGCATTTATTTAAAACATAATTGACAGAATATAGAATTGTCCCACACCACATACCTCAACAACAAAGACAGAAATTACCTCAGAGTAATGGTTTGGAAAAACATTTTCCAAACAATTGGACCTAAGAAGCAAGCTGGTGTAGCTATCCTAATATCTAATAAAATAGACTTCAAACCAAAATTAATCAAAAGAGATGGAGAAGATATTCCATATTCATTAAAAGAAAAATCCACCAAAATGATGTCTCAATTCTGAACATATATGCCCCAAATGTAAGGACACCCATATTTGTAAAAGAAACATCTGTAGTGAGGAGGCAAGCAGGCCTGCTTTTTGTCCTGACCAGCTCCCACACACCCGAAATAACAACACACAAATTGTATTCATTTAAACACTTCCTGGCCCATTAGTTTCAGCCTCTTCTTGGCTAATTCTCACATCTTGCTTTAACCCATATTTAGTAATCTGTGTAGCACCATGAGGTGGTGGCTTACTGGGAAAGAGTCTAGCCTACATCCATCTTGGGTCGAAGAATCATAGCAACTGCCTGAATCTGCTTCTTTCTCCCAGAATTCTGTTCTGTCTACTCCGCCTATCTAAGCTGCTGTGCTATCAAAGGGCCAAGGCAGTTTCTTTATTAACCAATGAAAGTAACACATAGACAGAAGATCCTCCCACATCAAACATCACTAAAGCTTAAGACATACATTGAATCCCACACATTGATAGCAAGTGACTTCAACACTCAACTCTTACCAATGGACAAGTTGTCCAGACAGAAACTAAACAGAGAAATAATGGAACTAACAGATATTATGACTCAGATGGACTTAGCAGACATCTACAGAACACTTCACCCAAACACAAAAGAATGTACCTTCTTCTCAATACCTCATAGAACCTTCTCCAAAATTGAACATATACACAGTTACAAGGCAAACCTCAACAGATACAAGAAATTTGAAATAACCCTCTGTATCTTATCAGACTACTGTGGATTAAAGCTGGATTTTAACAACAGAAACAAATAGAAAGCTTACAAAGTCATGGAAACTGAACAACTTTCTACTGAATTATCAGTGGGTCAAGGAAGAAATAAAGAAATTAAAATGTTTTGTGCTCTGATCCACAGAGTGACACTGGGTTCTGTTGGGGTAGATCTGGAGTCTTAGGTACACTTGTACTTTTCTTCATGACAAAACGATTACTACATTATATGGCAGGAGGAAAAGAGGACAGAGAGGACTAGGCATTAGGATTTACCACAAAATGAAAGCAGATCTGTGATCTCATTGGTCAGAATCTTTTTACAGGCAAGCCCAAGTTATAACACAGAGTATGAAATGAGTATTGGGTTTTTGAATAATGGAGCTTTCTGTTTGATAACTTCCTTTAGTCTCTAATGTTGATCCCCACTAAGACTTATCTGGGGTGACTGTTTGTCCACATTGTTATTGATTTTTATAACTGCCCATATCCACAGCCTCATCTCATAGGAGAAGAGTTGTGTCTGTGGTCTATGTTTTATAGAATGGCAGAAAAAAAAATGGGTCTATGAGGCAAGGAGGGGGTTGGGTACTGACACTGTTCATAGCTATAGCTGAATGAGGAGTAATTAGAGGCTTGAGGAAGCAAGGTGGTAAGAGTCTGCAGCTGCAGGGTTTTGGGACAGATAGCATCAGCCACAAGAGCAATGTGTTCCTGCACAGAAATAGATGCCAGCATCCCCAGGCTGGGCTCTGATGATGTTCAGCGAGCTGTCTTTTCTTGCTTCACCAAACTTAGCGGTCATTCTCTTCTGCTCCTTTACTTCTCCACCCTTGACTAATGTCATCAGGAAGACAGGACCTTTCCTGGGCTCCTGTTTGTACCAGTAAAATTGAGGGAAAGTGCTTGAGGAGTTGCAGTACATGGTGAGATCTTGCCCCTCCTGAATGCTCAGAAACTGAGGATTCTGCTCCAACTGCTGGGTGCTCAAACCTGTTTCAAAACAAAGCAAAACACACAGAGAGAAATTTGAATGCTCTTGCATTGTGTATAAATTACAAACGAGATTGTGGCCCTAAAAGTAGACTGGTGATCACAGAGGACCAGAAAGTTAATGGAGGAGGGTGGAAGGATGATGGAAGGATGCCGACTGGATGGAAGACAGTGTGAAACCCACAGTATGAAGATCATACATATTAGTAGACAGAAACCCCAAAGGCACAAGGGACTAAGGATTCCTTTCAAAGTTGAGGTGAGTCTACTTTCCATTATTTGTCTCCCAATCTACCCTCCCACCTCCCTTCATACTTATGACATGTCTCCAGAGATTTTTTGTCTTGATGAATTCTGTTATGTAAACTGAAGCTCTCCTGAACTTACGAGCTACTTGATTCCAAAGGAGCAACACAGAGAGCTTCAGGAGCATCTTTTCTTCCTGTCAACAGGTGGCCAGAGTCACTGAATTTAGTGCTCTTTTGCAAGAGGCAGTTCTGGGCTGCAACACGTGTTCCTAGTACTTTGATTTCAAACAAGAAACTGGGGCCACCAGAAACTAATTATCTCCTACCCTCCCCCATCTTGCATGACTCTGCTTTGAGACTGGGAAAGATTTTTGCCTTTTGAAATGCTGCCCTCCAGTGGGGAGACAGGAAAGTGATTTGCTCTGAATGCTCCTAGTTCTTCAGTTTTATTTGGTGTGGTTCACCATCAAGATTTACGTAGTCTAGTGCTCTTCAGAAATAGAACAACGATCTCTTTTTACAATTGATAATTTTGCAGTCAGAATAGTAGAGAAACAGAAGACAAGGGGACATGAGTTAAACATTTGTTGTGCACCTACTTTTACCAAATTAAAGATGAGTGTTTCTGTCGTGTAGTATTAAATTTAAAGTACTCTACTTGTAACATATTGCAATGTGCTGCCATCAGACTCTGGTTTACATGGAGCAAAGCTATGACTACACCCCACTAGACTGTGTTCGTTGGGCCAATCTGGCAAGTACTCCAAGGGAAAGATCTTTTATCACCTAAGTGACCCTAGAAATTATTAGGAAAAACTTGAATTCGCAGTTTCCAAATATTAGATAAATGTGTGGGTGTGTATATAGGTGACTAGCACAGTGGCTTGAGGGTATGGCTGTGGTGGGGATAGAATGAGGGTGTATCTGCCCACAAACATCAGTAAAGGTGTAGGGCCCTGGCCCTGGGAATAGCTGTTGGTTCCTCAAATGGGAATTGTAGTGCAAATGCGTTTTCTTTGTATACTTTTGTTCTGTGTGAGGGGTGCCACAATCTATACTCCTCAAATAAGATGAAAGCAATGGGGTGATTCATGACAAGAGTGTTAAAGGAACACTCAAGGATCACAGACTGTTGGGTTATTCTTTGAGACATCTCATAACTCATGCCATTTGTAAGACAATATGGGTTTCTTTCCAGAGGACTAGCTTATTAAGCCTCAAAGAGATAAGAATAATTTCCTTCAACATTAGAATAACATCATGATCATTGTATTGACTCGGAATCTAGACTGGCCTTTTCAAATACTCAATTCTCCTAACACATTCACTCAGAAGAAAAGCCTTGCCACAGCTTACAAAGGGGATGGTATCCAGAAGGGCACACCTGGAGTGTTGCCTTCTGTTTAGGTTTTGACCTACGGAAGAACTGGCAGTTATAAGAGAGGGAAGCATAGCTATGGGTTGACCTGAGAGATAGAATGAACCCGAGACACCTCCAAGTATCCTTGAATTTCAATGTTTCCAGCACAAACCAGTGCTCATTGATGAAGGATCCCTTGTCAAGGTGCATGGGGGATTGGCCGTAAGTGCTTTTTACATATATGATGGAAATGGTATTTAGAGCTGAGTTTAACCAGATGGATAGGGAATGTCCTCTATCCTTGAGGAACATGATTTAATAAGGATGTAAGAGCCAGCAAAGGGGATAATTGGATGAAATGTGCTAATGTAAAACTGCCTGGAAAATGCTGAGAGAAGAAAAGGGCAAGCACCTATAATTTTGATTTGTAAATGCAATTTCATAATTTGGTAATATCATTTAGATTGGGAAAAAGCTTTTTGAAAGAATGTGACATTTGTGGAGGTTTCATTAATGAGTAGTGCTTTTCAAGGCTTATGAAGAATGACGTGTAAAAGAAGATGCTGGACTGAGCTCATTGGCCTGAAATCATGCAGTGAAAATGGCCTTAAGGAGGAAAAGTCACAGGGACCAGGAGAGGAGACGCGTTCCTTTGCACAATAGAGAGCTATAGAGGTCCTGAAGCAGCGACACGATCAAGTTAGATGTTTGCTTTAGACTGAGTCTGAGTGGTGGTGTACTGGAAGGGTATGAACTAAGAGGTAGGTGATACAATTAAGAAATTTGTCTAAGCAATCAGTGAATCATGAGATTCTTGATAAGATAGTAAGCAGGAAGTTGAGAAGCAGCATCTGAATATAAAAGACTTTTATTTTTATTTTTAAAAAACCAGGAACTTGACTTTGTATGTCAGCCACGCTGACTGCAGAAGCACTCAATGCTACATTAGCTATATCTTAGTGACTCAAAGCTACATATGATTTGTATATTGGTGCATTAATTTGGGGTCGGTTAAGTTCTGCTCTCTGGGCCTCTGCTCTTAGACTATGCATCTGCTGCACATTATGGGCTAACATCTGAAAGAATATTGACTGGTACGTGCAGGACCAAATCATGTGATTAGATTTGTTTTCTACTTTGATGGATACTCCACAGCTACTCACAGCATTGCTCGAAGCTAGTAACGCAGCCAAGTAAGGCAAGAACAGAAAACGTGCTTGAACTAAAGTGTGGCTGTTAACAAATGACATCTCAGCCTGTTACTCTACTTGACACTGTGCTGAAAGTGGCATTATTGAGAAGAAGGCATATTAAGATGATTCTAGAATCTTGAAGAAGAGCCCTGGTGAAAACCTAGAAGAAATCAAGGATATAATATATTTTTATTCTATCCTTGCTCTTTTTGCCCTGTAGGGCATGTCCTCAATAAACTAGCTGTTCTTTCAGCAATGTCCTTTAAATGATATCCCCTTTTATCAGAGCAGATGGTTCTGTTTTGGTGGTGAAGGACCGATGTCTCCTTAATGTCCTGTTACATACCAGAAAGTTTTGATACCAAGATACATATGACCTTTCCTAATGAGTTGTTATTCGGGTTTAATATTCTCAACTCAGCATGACAACAGAATAAATGGACATAAATGAATATGACCCATAGTGTCTGTGGAGGGCTAGCTTTGAAGGGCATTGAAACTCTGTGCAGGGATGACTTGGGGTAGCATTCTTGCTGACAGGCTTGGCAACCCAAGTCAGGAGGAGGCAAACCTCTTCCATCAGTAGACTGCCTTGCCAATAGTCAGTCCTTGAGGACACAGATGTGCACTGTAGTTCAAAGGCTCTGATTAGGTTGTGGTTTGTCTTCTGATGAGGTGTTTTTTTTACATATTATATAACAGCAAAAGTTATTCCCATAACACCAGGCTTTTTGTCTAGATTAACTAGGACATGAAGCTCTTGCAATTATTTGCTACAAAGTTATTAATTTATGTAACTATTTCCAAGTATTATGGGAACCCAGCTTGGATTGTGATTGGAGTATTATAAAAGAGTACTGGCTTTGCAATAAAGTATGCAGTTGTATCTCCTACTCTGCACCCCCTGTGTCCTGATTTCTGCGGCACTACCCAGGGTCATCCATAACCGAGATAGTTGGGGAAGGGTCCCCAACAAGTATCAAAATATGTGACCCAGTAGAATTCACAAATGAAGTTGTACAGAATACCAAAAGGCTAGAAATATCCTATTGTTTGTTAACAGGTGTAGAATCTTGCAGTAGTCATTGCACTCTGGATTTGACTGTTGTTACACAGACATTACAATGACCCCAAACAAGTTGGATTTGGTATGGGGGTGTCAGGATGATTGGGTTTCAAGAGTACTGTTGAGTTGTAATGACTGCCTTACCATTCTATATGAGCTTCAATACTTATAATGTATAACAATTGTTACATTATGCAGCAATTTGTATTCTGAGGTGACATAGAATTTCTATTGACTTTGTTCATTGAGAAAATGTTTTTGGTTGTCTCACAGATGTTCTCATTATAGAAAGGTATTTATAGAACCTCCGCACTATTTTCCGTGGTGTCCAGACTAATTTGAACTTCTATCCACAGTGTATAACTGTTTCAGGAAGCCCACCAGAAAAGGCCACTTGGACACAGTCAATAGCCAACCTAAAGTGTTTATTCCAGTTGGCTTGGGCTACACTCAGGCATTCAGGACCCAACTATAGCATCCAGCATTTAGAGTAAGGAGTTTTTAAAGCCAAAACCACATTTTAGCATCTTTATCTACAGCTGCATGAGGAAGTGTGTACAAGCAAGCACTTTAACAGAAGCTAAGATAAGCAGCTAGCTAGAGAGGAAGGTTCTGCATAAGCGGGTGTTTAACAGAAGCTAAGTTGGCTGGTGCATCTTGAGCTTGAGTATTAGAATAGAGTTGGGTAAATTTGCACAAGTCTTCCCATGAAGGAGATTAAATTCTAGTTAAAATTTAAATGGCCTTAACAAGAATACAAGATGGAAGAACCTCCACATGGTCTTGTCCCATCATATTAGATTTCTTTTTTCTCCACATCCACCATATCATTTTTTTTGGTTCTCTTGATTCTTGTTCTGAATGGGGCAAAATAAAATTTCAACATAGTTTTGCTTTGCATTTCCATGATGGCAAAAATGTTGAATATTTTTGTTGGCAGTTGGTACTTTTGATAACATGCCTATTCATTTCATATA